CATTTGGTCGAGAAGCCAACAAATGTCCCATGAAACTTTGAGCTGCTGGTTGGGTGTCTTTTGCAACTTGGCAAAATTCACATCTCTGACACCAGCGAGCTACCTCAGCAGACATACCTGGCCAGTAGCACCGTGAGCGGAGAAGCGCTAGGGTCCTTTCCACACCTTGATGGCCGTGCTCCTGATGAACATGAGTCAGCACCTGCTCAATTAGTGCACTAGGCAGCAAAAGCTGAAGTACCACCTCGGCACCGTCAGGGCGATGAACCTGACGATACAGAACTCCATCCCTTTCAATCAGACGATCCCATTGTCGTAGCAGCACCAGAACAGGTGGGGCAAGTTGCTGCCGCTCCTCGAAGCTAGGTCGCTGCTTCCGTCTCCAGAACACCAGGATCTCTTTTATCACTGGATCGACCTGTTGGAGGGCATGAAGATCAGGAGTAGTGAGATGGGGCAAAACTGTAATGGCAGCTTGGAATACCTCAGCTGGTCCCAGCTGCAAGGCTTGTTGAAGAGGTTCAGGCAAGGTTGTACCAGGAACCATGGCTTTAATTTCCTGAGGATCAGCATCCTGTGGATGCTGGCGAGATAAAGCGTCTGCATTCTTATTACTCCTTCCTGACCTGTACTTTAAGTCGAAGTCAAACGAAGCGAGCTGAGCTGCCCAGCGCTGTTCAGTAGCCCCAAGTTTAGCAGAAGACAAATGACTAAGAGGATTGTTGTCAGTGTAAACAATACACTTCAGGGCTTCAGTTGTGGCCCAAGTACTCTCTAAACTTCTCAGTCATGGCAAATTTAAGTGCCAAAAACTCCAGCTTCATTGAGCTATAATTTAGCATATTGCGCTAAAGGCGTTGAATTGGTCTCTGGAAGATGCTAGGGGCATTACATGCCCAAATGGCATTCGGTTCCACTCAAATAGCCCAAAAGGAGTACAGAAGGCAGTCTTGGGCCTATCCTCTTCCGTAACTGGGACCTGATTGTAGCCACTGGCTAAATCCATGGTGGAAAACCAACGGGCACCAGTCAGCGCATCTAGGGATTCCTCAGTGCGCGGCAGGGGGAATGCATCTTTCCTTGTCTTGTTGTTCAATTGCCGATAATCAACACACATGCGCGGGCTGCCATCCTTTTTCTTAACGAGCACAATGGGAGAAGCATAGGGGCTGCTTCTCTCTCTACTCTGAAGGGGGGATGCGCCTATAACGCTGCCGCACGGGGATATCATCTAAGAGCGGAGTGTCATGAGAGATCAAGCTAGTGCAACCCAAATCAGTGTCATGAGCGGAAAAGACCAAGCTGTATTTCTTAAGGAGAGACCTCACCTGTCCCTGTTCCTCTGCTGACAGTTTAGACAAATCAATTCCTTCCATCTGATCCTGCACAGTAGGA